AAAAAAAAATATATATATATATATATATATATATATATATATATATATATATACACTTAACCCTTTGACGGCAACCAATGTAAACATATTACAATAACATATTTAATATTCACTGATGTAAGTCTCTTATAAGGCTATGAAAACTATTGGGGTCATTCTGTTGTAACATTTTAGAAACTGCTGAGGTCCCCCTAGTGAGCAAAGACTGGAAAATGTTTCCATGCAGCTGCTCCTCTGTCACCAAAGGGAGTCTCATTTAGCAGCTTTTCTTTTTTCTTTCTTTTCTTTTTTTTTTGCGGTACCAGGGATCGAACTCAGGACCTTGTGAGGCAGGCATGATGCCACTGAGCTAAATCCCCTGCCCAAGCAGCTTTTCTGAATGTAAGGGTCTCCATTTATTACCTTGACAAAGCTTATTTAATAACCTATAAAAACCAGATGGTAATAATTTTTTTGGAACTTTTTTTTTTGGTACTGGGGATCAAACTTGGGCCCTTGCGCTTGCACAGCAGGCGGTGAAACCACTGAGCTAAATCCCCAGCTCCAGATGGTAATAATTAATAGATTATTTGTAACCAGTTAAACTTTTGGAATTATTATATTTAGACAACAATATGTATTACATCATTCTGATCTGTTAGCAACTTGGGAAAAAAAAGAAATACATGCTTTTTACTTTAATAACCTTTATTTATAAACCAATTTTATTTATTTATTTATTATTTTTGGTATCGAACTCAGGACCTTGCACTTGCAAGGCCGGTGGTGGCAACACTGAGCTAAATCCCTGGCCCTATAAATGAATTTAAATTATAGGCAAATATCTTAAAAAAAAAATTTTAAGGGAAAAATATTGTTGAGCTCAAAACAGATATATGATTGGACAGACAAGTGGACAAACATGTAAAACAATTTATAAAACTAGAATCCACTCAAATATATTTAACCTAATTGAATTACAATATACTTCTGTAATTTTCAGGTTTATAATTGTAAATAAGACTAGTCAAAACTTTTTGTAAGTCAGTTAACAGAGATCTCTTGTAGAATTAGAATCAGAAGAAATGAGGGGCCTGGGGTTTAGCTCAGCAGCACTGTGCCTGCCTTGCAAGTGCAAGGTCCGGAGCTCAATCCCTGATACCAAAAAAAAAAAAAACCAGAAGGAATGAAACTTCTTTGTGCCTGTAAATTTTTTTTTTTTTTGGTACTGGGGATCAAACTCAGGACCTTGCACTTACAAGGCAGGCACGGTACTGCTGAGCTAAATTCTCGGCCCTATGCCTATAAATGTAAACCTTTTATAATAAACTTGAAACCAACAAGTAAACATACACATTTCCTTGATAAATCACTTCTGCACACCTTCTCGAAGTACATAGGCCTTTTAATCTTGCATCTACATATCTCTGTAAGACAAACATACAAAATCCTTTCATATCAAAAGTATATCTTGGGCCGGGGATTTAGCTCAGTGCTTTTACCGCCTGGTGCCCAAGCACAAGGACCTGAGTTCGATCCCCAGTACCAAAAAAAAATAAAAAAATAAAAAAGTATATCTCTTCTACTTTGTAGCCTTAATATTTTTCCTCCATCTCACTTACTATAAACCTTCTATAACTTGCTTCAGCTGTTTAAATTTTAAAGTGTTCCTTTTTTTCTGTTCTCAGCATTTTAAAATTTGACTAGCTGGCAACAGAACGGTAGTAACCTTGAGTTCTTCAAAAGTCTGTGAGAGAGTAGATCAAGATAACCCTATAATTACAATTTAAGAATTTGCAATGCACAAGAAATGTTTTAAGCACACCAATTAAACATCAACTCAAATTGAAACAATTACGTATTTATCAATTAGCTAAAATTTGTAATTTGATTTCTCTAGTAAAATCTCTTTGTCTGTGAGAGAGCTCTAAAACCGAAACTAAACAGTTCTCACCAGCAGCTGACTGCCGTGGAGCTCAGTTATTTCTGCCTCAAAACAGCGCACAAGGCTCCAAGTTTGCAAGGGCTCAGTTAAAGTCTCAAGGGAGATAACTTTTTTTTCTTTGTTGAGCTGTCTGGATGTTATTTTTGACATGCTTCCTAAGTTCCATATCTAAAGTTCTTGTTTGTGAAAAGTGACGATTATATTTAACTATCATTTGCAGCATTTATTTCAACACTGCAGGACAGCTTAGGCCAAAAGTGATTTTGTATATTTAATTATTTCTTGCAGCATTTATTTCAACTCTGTGGGCCAGTTTGGGCCGAGAGTGATTACTCCGTGTTTTAGTCCCAGCTAACTACCTTTACTACCTTCTTGCATCTGAAGCACCTACCTCTTTTTCTGGGTTTTGCTACCTGTTTGGACCTCCTTAGCTTTTTTTTGGTACTGGGGAGCAAACTCCGGACCTTGCACTTGCGAGGCGGGCGGCGGAACCACTGAGCTAAATCCCTGGCCCTGGACATCCTTATCTTGATACAAGGTGCACTGTGTAGTCGATTCTTTTTTTCTTTTTCTTTTTTCCTTTTTATTCTGAGGAGCCTCATTGAGCAGGTGATTGCTTGTGATTCAAGCCCCCACGATGGGTGCCAATTACTGGAGAGCCTTGCAGTTAGGTTCCAGTCCCCTGCCCAGTATATGACAGAGGCCTGAGAAATAAATACACTAAGAGACAGAACTAGGAGAAAATCAGGAGCCAGGACGACCAATGCTGGTGCAACTGACAAAGGACAGTCCTTGGTGCTACACAGTCCCAGGCACTGTCTTTTATTGGCAATCAATTGGGGTAAAGGCGAGCCACATGCAGTTTCTATGGAAAGTAATGTAAACAAGGCTCACAAAGGACAAGACAAACCGTTCTCGAATTAGGAACAGAATATGGTTGTAATTAGAACATCGTCCTTCTAGTCAGAAGGTTTTAGTTGTGGGAACGGAATTTGGGTGGGAGTTCCTCTGACCTCGGCTCGTAGGCTTTGGCCGGACTCACTTCTCAAAGCTGTGGGGTTAGCTCTTCACAGCCGGCTTTGGGCGTAATCAGCATTACGGTCCCTAGCAGGGCTCCCACAGCTGCACTCAGGCCTGTGTGCAGAAGCAGGTCACCTGTCCCCACTGCCCACCTGTCGGCCTCAGCCCTCTTGTGCCCTGCACTTCCGTACCCTGTGCAAGCTCAGCACCTGGCAGGCGGTTGTCAGGTGACAATGGGCTGAAGGGTAAATCTATGGAAATGGAGCCAGGTTTGCCCCCAGAGGCAGCAGGAGGGCACCCAGAGGGATAAACTAGCAAGGCCAGGTAGGCAAGGCACTGCCTGGAGCTGTATGCCTGGGTCCCCACATGTGTGTCTTCCTGTGAGGTGAAGACATGGAGAGCAGGAAGGGGCCTGGACAAAGGACAGGCCATGGTCACTCACAGCCACCAAGGGGTAGGGAGCAGGCTTTAGAACTTTTTCTCTAGTTGTATTTGCTTTTGTTTAATTCAATTAATAAGCTAGAGATGCTCTCACAGGTGAGCTTACAAAACCTTGGCAGGACACATGCACCTATCTCTACACTTTTCCTATCCGGGGAGAATCAAATCTTGCATTTTACACTGGTAGGGGCTGAACAGGCTTACCAATGGCAGTTGATAGGATTTTCTTAAGCAAAACTACCTTAATGTTGGAATACACTTTTTTTTTTTTGCTTTTTGAGACAGTGTCTCACTATAGTCCATGCTGGCCTCAAACTCATGGTGATCCTCCTGCCTCAGCCTCCTGAGTGCTGGGATCACAGGTGTGTGCCATCATGCCCAGCCTGCAGTAAACATCTTGACCCATGTGAGAGCCCTACTGCCTGTCCTCCGCCTTGAGCAGCACCTGGATGTTTACCTTGGAGTTCAGGGCTGGGCTTCCGAATCTTAACTCTGAAAAAAGACACTTAAACATTTGGGGTTTGCCTTTTTCTAAGAAGGGGATCTGTATGTAGCTTCCCCCTGAGAAGCGGGAGCCCTCTGACAGGGCAGCTCTGCAACCCTTGGTCCAGCCAAGCCTCCATGGTATGTGATCTCTTCCCTGACACGTGGAAACCCCTCAGTGTCACTAGGGCTAGGGACCTGGCGGTTGGGAGCTTGCCAGATCTCATAGGGTAGTCTGGCCCTGGGTCTATAACCACCTTCCACCAGTGCTTGGTGATGGTTGCCACAGCCCCTGGCATCCGTCCCTCTCGTTCCTTCCTAAGACGTATCTGCCAGGACAAGTGGTGCCTGACCATCTGGTCCCGTGGGAGGCTCCCGAGGCACCGGTCACTTCCTGAGCATCCTCCACAGTGCCCAGGCCACAACCCTGAGACTGCCCTAGAAGTTTTATTTTTTGGGGGGAGGGAAATAGAGGGAAGACAGGTTTAAAACAGAGCAAAACAAGGCAATGAAAGAATTCAAAAGACCCTGCCGAGAATCCTCCTGTGGGTGGCACCCAGCTCTGAGGCCTCTACTGTCCCAAGGGTCTCAGGTGATTGCCTGCTCTGTGTCATACTCTGGGCCACCCAGGTTGTTCTGAAGTGAGCTGGGCAGCAGTCATTTGAGTTTTAATGGCTTGGGGTCTTGTGGGTGTTTGTGGTAGCCCTGCCTTGAAGAAGGGCAGGTTCCAGAGGAGAGGCTGTCCTGGGCAGGCCAAGGACAGTGAGAGGTTGCACCCTCCACCCCCAGGGAAGCAGGGTCAGTAGGCTGAGGGAGGGTGGGGTCACCGCTCTGGCTGTCCGGCCCACACGCCCCCCATCATGTCTTCTGCTGTCCTTCACTCTCCTGTCCCCCAGCACCCAGACACAGGCCTGGACCCAGCTTCTGATTGCAGCTGGGGTCTCCCCACCTTTGCCCTGAGCATCTGGGCCTAAGCCAGCCAGATCTTTCTGTTTCGCCCTGACCTGGCAGCCAGGCCAGCTCCCTCTGCCCCAGACAGTAGGGCAAGACTGGTGCAGAAGCTGGTCTGCAAGCTCCTGCCTGGAGAGCCTGCCCTGGCAGGGGTATGGAGGGAGTGAAGCTTAGGCAGAGGGAGCAGTGCGGCTGGGGTCCTTGCAGGGGTGTGGGACGGCCTGGACACAACATGTGGGCCCCACTTGGAGCCGGCTCAGCTAGAAGGGGGCTCCGCGCTCTGGGGAGAGGACGCTGCTCCCCTTGGTGCACAGCATTTCCTTCGATCGCCTTTGTTTGGTGCCACCTGTAATTCTGCCGCTTGAGTTCTGGGCAGAGGCCCGGGGCCAGGGCTGTGGGGTCTGAGCGGCTGTCACCCCTTGGCCCTTACACGGACTCCTTCCCCTCTGTCCCTCGGCCCCATGCTGCCCTGCTCCGCCCACTGACTGCCCTGTCCCCCCAGGTGCACAGCAAGGACAAGAAGTACGTGTGCAAGGTGTGCAGCCGCGTGTTCGTGTCGGCCGCCAGCGTGGGCATCAAGCATGGCTCGCGGCGCCACGGCGTGTGTGCTGACTGCGCGGGCCGCGGCGCGGCCGCAGCCCTGGACCAGGGCGGTGGCGATGGCTCCCCTGAGGCGCTGTTTGCGGGCGACGCGCCCTACCTGGAGGACCCCGACGACCCGCGCGCAGAGGGCGAGGAGGAGCTGGGGGAGGACGAGGACGACGACGTGGCCAGGTGGAAGGACGACGTGGGGCTGACGCATGAGGACGCGCTGCTGGCGGACAAGGACGACGAGGACTCGCCGCGGGCGCCCCGCAGCCCCGCAGCGGAGCGCGACCAGGACTTCGCCTGGGTCTCCTAGGTCCCGCCCGAGCCGCCCCGAGCCGCGCACGCGCACGCCGGCCTGAGGGCCTGGAGCAGCCCTCGGCGGGGCGAGCTCAGGCTTGAGCGGCCGAGGCCCCCCTCCCGGGTCTCCACCGCTCTGGTCGGCCACAGAATCCAGGTCCGCACGGAAGAGCCCTGCGACCCTCTCACCTCCGCCTTTGGTGCTTAACACAAACGGCTGGGGCCGGGTGCCAGGTGCTACCCCCGGGGCCCCGCCCGGCGAGCCTCGGAGCCCTGTCCACCCGGCTCTGCCCGGCTGCCGCTGACCTCCCCGGACGGGCCGGGCCGGGCTCCCGCCTTGGTTGCTGCTAACGCCGCAGTGGGTGTCCAGCCGCTCGCACCTCCCCACCTGGGCAACCAAATTTTAAAGCAGTCAGAGAGACACACTGAGGTAGTTACAGACAATTATTTTGATTGGCATTATTTTTCTCACTTGACAAAACTATATAGGGTTTTCTTTTAGCTTGTTGTTAAGTCCTCTTGCTTTTTTTTTTTTTTTTTTGGTACCGGGGTCGAACTCGGGAACTTGGGCAGCAGGCGCCAGAACCACTGAGCTACATCCCCGGCCCCTCGCCTCTTGCTTTTTTGATGGACCTCACCCCACGTTCTGTTTCCAGAATGAAAAGTGAAGGCTCCCATTTTGGCATCCTGTGTGCCACCAGCTTCGAGGGTCCTGGAGGTCAGCCCGACTCGGCCCGCAGGCCACACGGGAGACTTCTCCCCGCCCTGGGCCGGGCTCGCAGGTGCCGAGGCTGGCCCAGTTGGAGAGTTCTAGTTTCTTTTTCCAGTCCACAAGCCGAATGGCTTTGACCAACTTCCTTACCGTGTCACATCTATTCTTTCTAGGTGGAAAAGGAAAGCCCACAAAGCCGTAACTTGGGTCCCGGTGGTCCCCTGCTCACATTCCCTGAGTGCCAGCTGCCTTACCTGCTGCTGCTGCTGCTGAGGGGACAGGGCTGGCCCATGTGGCCCAGGTGCTATCCTAGAGGGCCTGTGCCACGCGAGAGGAGTCAATGCTTTTGTTTTTTAGATGGAGTTAGCCGCTGTTTCTCCCAGTTACAGGAGGCCTGGTGTGGAGTTTGCTGTCCCTGGGGAGGCTGTGACCTCCTCAGAACTCCCCAAAGTCCTCAGGGGGAAGAGGGCCAGGAGCCCCACTCCCCTACTGCGGTGGGCAGCACCGGGCGCAGTCCCAGTGGGGCAGCCTAGCTCGACCCCTACCAAGGGAGCTCCAGGCTGAGGCCCTCCAGCCTTGCCAGTACCCCTCCAGGGCTCTGAACTTTGTACCTTTCCTCCTGCTTTTTAAACACCTTTTCTAAACAGACTTAGTTTCTTATAAGATGCATTTGGGGACAGCCCTCCGCTACCAGTGTCTCTGGACTTTGTACCAGTCCCAGCGTCTCAGGTGCCGGGCCCCGGCCCACCTGCTCAAGGCACCTTGCCCCGACTCAGGACGTCTCGATCCCCACTGCTCCCTGTGCACCGCCTCTGTTGGCCTTTCCGGGCTTCCCACGGAGGCACTTCCTCCAAGCCCGTCCTGTACTGGAAACCGAGGGCCCAGTCCTGACCCCACCTCACCTAAGTATCTGCTGTGTGGCAGGTTTGTCGTTCCCATCAGTTTGCTAATTGGAAAGTGTGGAATTTCAAAGACCCAGATGAACACATCCATCTCTCAGGAGGCATGGAGGAAAGACATGATGAAGGATTTTTTGTTTTGTTTTTTTTTACGTGACTGATTTTTTTTAAATCAATGTTCAAACTAATAAATATTTTTTTATGAAGAGGAAAAATGTGTAGATTACATTTCACATTTTGTATTTTTTTGTTTGTGTCTGTATTTTGGTGTTTGCAACACCAAAGTGGAAAACAGTGATGGGGGTGTTACTGAGGGGCAGGGAAGCTGTCTGGTTTTTGTACTGTGCTCTGGATCCTGACCAGGCTGTATATTTGGACTCTATGGGTTTTGGGAAACAGGACATTGCCAGGACTCAACAGGGACCTGACTCAAAAAAGACACAGCTATGCTTCCAACTTTGCACATCTTCTTTTTTAAAAAAGAAAACAGAAAATGCAAAAACTGGGAACTTTTTGCATTAGGAAAGATAATCTTACTTTGGCTCATTCTGTGACATGTGCAGCTCTTAAGAAAGCCATACTTAATGGTGGTTGTCTTTTATTTTTTAGACCCTATGTTGTGTTTTGTATGCAGCCCTTTTAGAACCACTTGTCGTGAGGGTGCCTGTGTGTGGGCTTTTCTTAAATATTTATTTTTTCAACATGCTTTCAACCTGTCAACAAGAACAGAATTGACAAAGGGCAGTGTTTGAAGACTGTTGATCTTTTCTGAGGATAATCTATATTACACTGACTTTATATTATTATAAACCTGTGTGTGTATTGAAGATGTGTCCACATTTGGGGAGGAGGTTTTTTGTAATCAGTCAGTGGAAATCACAGCTGTTGCCCTGCTCTGCTGTAGCCCAGGACAGGCCAAGATTACCTTCTCTTCTCTCGTGGGTTTCGCAGTTTCTTGTCTGCCTAGGTGTGCTCGCGGCCTGCCTGTGGGTTTCCTTTCTGTGACGGGATTAGCATAGACATTCTTGCAAAGCAATCACTTTCAATAAACTGGGAAGTTGCTGCTCCAAGCAGGTGCCTCCTGTGTGTTTCAGACAGCACTCTCCCCTGGCCTCACCGTGGGTAAGAGGGTAAGTGGCCAGAGGGTTACCCTAAGGCGCTGTCCCTTGTTCCTGGCCTCCCACCACCCCTGCCCAAATGTAGGGATCAAAACCCATTCCTTCCCCCTAAGAGGCAGACTCAGCTTCTGGAAAAACCCCAAATGTTTAATTCTTCTCACCTGGTAGGGCCCAGACGTGAGACACCTGAGCTTCACAAACATGGTAAAATGTCAGCCCCAGGGCTCTTGAATCATCACATTAAATGTGTGGGTGGAAGTTTCCCTCCCTGACACCCTTCAAAGTGCATCTCCAACTGGCCCTTGGAGCTGGGCCCATGGGCTTCCTTGACAAATCTGTGGGCTATCAGGGAGGGCGGGCGGTGCCCTGGGGGCTGAGGGGGCAGCGGTGTGGTTTGGCTTTAGTGCAAAAAGCTGGTTTCTTCAGAGGCACTTTGAGTGTCAGGACCCCTCCCACGTCTCTGGGAGTCCAGGATCAACAACTCCCTAGTCCCTGCCACATTAGAAAGTAGACCCTACAGCCAGAAAGGGCCTGGACCTGGGGCACTCCCAGAGTTGGCCAGCCTCGGGCTGGGGTTGTCTGGGAGCTGGGCAGCAGCACCAGAGGGTGGGCTCAGTCCAGGAACCGCTGGCAGGCTTTCTTCCAGCGGCAAGCTGTGCACCACAGGTCCCGGTGGTCCATGCCATACACCTTCCGGCACTTCTTGGCATCACCACGGGGCTTCCTGGGGGGACACACAAGGGGCATCGTGCTGTTGGCAGGACCTTTCCTGCTGGGACCTACCCACCTGGCCCCTCCACTCGCACGCACCTTAGACTGGTGCCGAGCTTGGAGGGCAAGGCTGGAGCACAGGCCTGGACCTCAGTGGCCCGCAGCTCCAGGTGGACGGAGCTGCAGCCTGAACCTCGCTCATCTCTGCAGTGCCCTGAGACCTGCTCCCAGACACCTGTGGCCTCACCCACCTGGTAGGCATGGTCACGGTGGCACACCTGTGGGGGAGCTACAGAGCTGAGCACAGGGGGCGGGGCCAGGGCCAGGGCCAGGGGCTGTAGCAGACGGGGCAGGGCTGGGGGGTTGAGCAGCTCTGGCAGCTCCAGATGGGGGAAGGCTGGTGGCACCGAGGCTGTGGGGGACACAGGAGTCAGGTTGGACAGCCCGTCAGTCAGCACGTCCACGCCAACATCCAGCTCTGTGTAGTAGAAGTCCTCCTCGCCATCACTCTGCTCCGGCTCCGCCTGTCTCCTGCTAGGGACACAGTGACTGGGGCCGTGGCAGGAGCCTGGCCTGACCCCACCCAGGCCCAGCCCCCAGCCCCTCGCACCCCAGGTGCACCAGGCGGATGTGTCTCTGCATCCCGGATGCTGTGCTCAGCACCTTTCCGCAGCTCTTCCACAGGCACTGGAACATGACCCGGACGGAGCTCTGGGGTGACAGGGGCCTGCGGTCAGCAGCGGCTGCCCGCCTCCTTCCCACCCTGGGGGCTTCCCCCAGGCTCACCTTCCTCTTCCTCAGGGTGGGGTCCCCGAACAGAAAGTGGGCTGTCTCGAGGGGCAGTGGAGGTGATGGGGTGGATGGGGAGGACTGGTCACTGGCCAGGTCCCAGCCCCAGTCTCCACTGTTAGTGCTGCTGCTGTAGCTGCCTGGTGGCCGCGCCAGACCCTCCTTCCAGGGCTCCAGGCCAGGCTCTGCAGGAACATGCCACCCTCAGGACCTTGGGTGCACTCTCCCTGCTCTGTGGAAACTGCTGCCTGCTGGCCACTGCCATGCCCTAACTCTGAGCTGCTGCCTGTTCTGTGAGCTTGGTGGGCAGGAAGCTTCTGGGAGGAGGACCTGGCTAAGGAGGAACTGGCCATGGGGTCTCCAGGAGAAGCCTGCCAACACAGGACAGGGGAGGGAGGTGCCTGGCACAGCCAGGAAGCAGCATGGCTGGGACAGTGTGTCCAGCAAAGTGGAGGTGGACAGCTCAAGAAGGCCTGGGGGCACTGCAGGTTTGGCCTCAGTGAGAGGCCCTGAGAGGGTGGACACTCACTCCATAAGGTCTCAAGAGGCATGTCTGGAAGGTGGCCTGTTGGTCTAGGGGCTCTACTTGCCCAGCAGAGCTGCTGGGTGACTGCAGGGCCTGGGGAACAGCAGTCCTGGGCCTGCCCCCTACCTGAGCACAGACTTCTGAGTCTCACCTGGGCTGAAGGCTGCAGCTGGGGCCCCCAGACAGAGGGGACTGGTGGACAGGCTTGTAAGGGCTGCGGCAGCCATGACCTCGTCCAACCGGGCTTTTCCTGGGGGGGCTCTGGAGGAGATGGGGGCAGGGTGGGGTGGGGCCCAGCGGTTGCTCCAAGCCCCTCCCTTGGCCCAGTGTACTTGTGCAGGCCTGGGCACCAGGCAAGCACTAAGCTGCCTCACTCCTGGCTGGGCAGGAGGCCTGGCTCCACCCCCAGCTCGGGTTGCAGGGCCGAAAATCGCCAGGAACAGGGCCTAGTCTGCCGGAGCTCTGAGCCCTCAAAAGCTTGGGCTTTGCTCCACCGTGGTTCCTTCGGACCCTTGTGCTGGGAAGGGGTCTGAGGCCTCACTGGTGGGCCCAGACTAGCCCTCCCCACAAAATACACGGTACTAACCAAGGTTGTGCAACAGCAACTGTGGCCTAACGCCAGGCCTAGGAGGATGGGAGCGGCCAGCCTTCCGCAGCAGCCAGGGGAAGCCCGCTCCAAGCATGGGCGGGTCCTCAGGCCCCAGCGGGCCAGGACTGAGCCCGCCCCTGCTGCGCCGCTAGCCAGAGGTGGGAGAGGGGCGGCAGGAGCCCCAGGGGTTCCTGGACAGTCAGCCCCAGGCGGACCGTAAAGCCTTCTGCAGAGAAACTTGACAGCCGCCCGCTTCCAGTTCTGCTCTGCCCCAGGTCGCACTGATCACTTCCGCTCAGCTCCATCAGGGCTGGAGCAACGGCGCAGAAACCTCGTCCCGGACCCTGCCCTGCCCTTGGAAGGCTTGGGGAGGCAGAAATCTGCGCCCCACCCACCGCCCTTGCACACACCGGCGCACGTGCGCACGCTCTAGTCCCGGCACCAGCAACCTGGCTCACCTCTGCGCTGGCACGGGGATCTGTGCCGAAGGCGGCCGCCGCCCCGCCGCCGCCCCCGCGCATGTCCCGGGAGTCACTAGGTTCGCGGCCTGCGGCTCCTGCGGCACCGCGAACTCCAAACCCGCGAAGCCGCTGCCCGCCAGCTGGCCCTGCGGAGGCGGAGACTCAGTGGCGACGGCGGCCCCAGCCCCCGGCTCCCACCCCGGTTCCGCCCGAGCCCGCCCCCCACACCCTCGGCAGCTCCGCCGGACGCAAGGCCCCGCCCCCGGCCCCGCCCCCGGCCCTGCGGCGGGAAGAGTCCCCCGGCCGCCGGGGCCGGGCAGGCCAGACCCACGGACACGCACGGGTAGACGCGGCCGCCCCCCACCGCCACGCCCTCGGGGCCCAAAGTTTGCGCAGCCCCGACGCCATCTTTGCTGCGAGAGAAACTTTGTCGGCACTCCCGCCCACCCATACCTGCGGCGGCGCGGGGACCCGGCCCTCCGCGTGCTGCCACCGCGCCTCGGCCCTCGGCGCAATGGGGTCCCGGGCGGCGGCGCGGGGCGGGGGGTGCTCGCAGGCCCGACCCTGTGCCGGGGGGCGCTCGGTCTCCATGGCTGGCCGGCCGGGCGCCGAGGCTGCAGCGGCGAGGGAGTGCGCTCGGGTCGTGGCCCCGGCAGGGCCGGGCTGGCCGGGCCGCCGACCCCCACCCTAGCTCCCGCCGCCGCCCGCGCCGTGCTGCCCGCAGGCTGCCCGCCGGCCACGCCTCCTGCCCCGGCCCGCCCGGCGCGCGCGCCCATTGGCCGGCGCGTGGCATCAACACTCGGAGCGGCCCGCTGCGCTCCGCAGGCCGGCGCCCGGGCCCCGCCCCCGGCCGTCCCGCTCGGCGCTCCGGCGCTGGCGGGCCGCTCGCCCGCACGCCCTGCGCCGGGGAGGGCCGGCTTCCGGACGGCCGTGCTAGCGGAGCTGCCAGCGCCAGGAAGGGGTCGAGGCTGCCTGGCGGGGCTCCCAGGAGCAGGTTATCCTTTAACGCACGACCGCCCACCTCTTCCCACTTACGTAACGGTAGGGGCTGGTGGCAGAGCCGTCCCGTGGAGCTCAGGGTCCAAGTCCCACTCCAGGCGGCCCTCCTGTCAGCCCGCTGCTCTGGCTCAGGACCCCCAGGCCTGGAAACCACCACCGCGAAGGGCTGGTCGTTCTTCCCCACCACTGACCTCAGACGGACAGCGCAATGGCATACGGTGCCAGGGGTATCAGAGGGAGAGCCTCATCTAGAAAATCCCTACCCAGGACCCCCCCCCCCCCCGGTTTTCAAGGGCAGGCAGGCTTCGAGGTGTGCATGTCCGTCCTCCAGTGGTTGGATTTATTAGGACTCAAGTTGGGAGAGGAGAGACCACGTGGACACAGCAACGCAGTGGAAGTACACAGGCCTCAATCACCGGGGGGCTCAAGCTGGAGGAAGGAGCACAGGTACTGGGTGCTCAGGACACAGGGGGGCCACACTCCAAACCTTCCCTAGGCAGAGGAAGGCAGAGGCAGGGTCTTCTGCTCTACATATGTCCGCTTATGCTAATAGGCAGAATGGAGGGCTCTGGACTTTCAGGGGTCCCCACATCCTGGATGCTTTCATACACATTTTCCAGGGGATTGCTGTCCATGTCCAGGCCCCTAGGAGGGAGCGGTTCATAGGTTAAGCCAGTCTCCAGGGTCAGAACTGCTCCTGTGCCCTCACGGCCCGGTGGGTCTGTGGCGGGCCCTGCGTCCCTGTTTCTAGGCTTGCAGACCCTGGAGTACAGGATGTCCACCTGGAGAGAGGGAACAGACCCAGTGTGGGGTCCTCAACGTCCACTCTGCCCAGGACCTGCCCATTCCCGCCTGACACACCCACCTAGCCCCACTTTACCTGAGCAGCTGGGGTCACCTCAGTCTTCCCTTGCTGCAGTTCTTGGGGGCCCGGATCTGACCCTCTGAGCTTCTGGATGGAGGCATACTCAGCCAGTACAGGTCTGGCCCAGTGCCCTGGCCTGTCACAGCCAGTGGTCAGCCGTGTCCCTGCCCATACCACAGGGCTGGCAGCCAGGCTAGCTCTAGGGATGGCAGCCAGCCCCACATTAGAATAGGTGGCCTCAGGACCAGTGGACAGTGTGAAGGCAGTCGCAGATGGGGGCCCCGGCAGCTGCTGACGTGGGAAGGCAGAGGGGGCTGCCAGTGGTCTGGCGCTACCCCTGGAAACTTCTAGCCAGTGTGGGTGCAGGAGATCCATGCTGGCAGGCCTCAGGGCTATGGGTAAGGTCAGGCCAGAGGCCATTAGGGGTGGACAGCAGGTGTGGTCCCAAGCTGCAGCCAGCCACTCCCCATGTGTCCTTCTGGTAGTCACCTCACCTTTGCTGCCATGGGTACCGCGGTGCAGCTCATGCAGCCTGGTGTCAGACTTGCTGAGGGGGCAGAGATGAGTCTGTCTCAGCAGGGACTAGGGGCAAGGAAGGCTGGTCAGTTCCCTGTTGGGCCCACCTTTGCCCCGGGGACAACCTGGCACTCACCGTTTCTGCCAGCATCACAGTGTCCTGCAGTCTTGCCTGCTGGCTCTGCACCTGCTTCCTAGGGGCAAGGGCATCATCAGGCCAGGTGGGAAGAGGTAGAGGTAGGGCAGCCAGCTGCTAATCCGAGCCCAGCACGAAGGTGCATGTGGAGATGATTCTGAAACGGACCTGCCTCTTGACTTCCAGCTTGGCCAGAGGGTGAGGGCCCACACAGAATGCAGGCAAGATGGACATACCTGTGGCAGGCTGTGCACAACGCCCACAGCCAGAGGAGCAGAGAGAAACACCCTAGCACCCAGATGGCTGGCAGGGCCACAGGCACTGGCGGCCCCATCCTGTGAAGCAGGGCCCTGGGGACAGAAGAGAGGGGTACTAGGGGATGGCTGAGGGGTCTGGCACACCCCTCTTGCTCCACTTGTGCAGCTCACTCCCTTGGTGGGCTTCTCTCCTTGGCTCTGACTCAGCACACACAAAGCCCCAGGCCTTGCAGCTCTGCCATTGTGGAGGGGCGCCTACCTTCCTGCCTCTGGCTGAGCCCCTTCACAGTGAGAGGCAGCAGCTATGGTGATAGGGGAGTATGGCCAGGGCAGCTGTGACCTGACCAAGGCTGTGGTCACTGTAGCCTAAACCCAAGATCTGGGGAAGCCCCAGAGTCATACCCCCGGACTGTCACAGCCCACAGACCTCATCTGTAGCCACTCTACCCAGGTGTGGCCCCTTGTCCGAGGTGGTGCCCCTAAGCCACTCACTATGGAGCCTGGCTCCCTGAGAAGCTGGAATGGGCGGCGGGGGCGGGTGGGAGGATCAGCAGGCAGGACTCGGCTGCTTTCAGGCACTGAGTGCCCCCTCAAGACCTACACCCTTCCTAGGATCGGTCTTAGCAAGGCTGGGGGCTGGGCACCCACCTGAAATCTGCAGGAGTCAGAAAGTGAGGGGGTGGTCTCTGGGGGTCAGGGTGAGTCTATCCAGCCTATAGGAGTTGGTTTCTTGCATGAGGGTGGGGGAAGACCACTAACCTGGACACAGCCTAGTGCCCTCCCTGATCCCAGGAGTGCCAAGAGGCTTGGGGATCTGCCCGTGCTGGAGGATGGAGCAGCTTACCAAGGCTACGTACGGCACAGCTCCTCCTTAGCCCTGTCTGGGGCAGCCAGGAAGGTCTTTGTGGGTCCTCAGTGAGCCCCTCACCTCACTTCCTGCCCGACTCAGTGCCTCCCAGCAGCCACTCAACCCTCAGATGCAGCTGCTCCTGCTGCAGCCACCACTCAGCCTCATCCACTTGTAGCCCCACCCAAGATCTCATTGTGACTCACTGTGCCGCAAGCCACTGTTCTGAAAGCCTGACTCACGTCCTCTCCAGACTGGAGGGGACAGGGCTGACGAGGCGGGCAGGAGGTCCACTTGGTCATCAGCAGCCACCGAGCGCTGCTCTGAACCCCCAAACCTGCCTCACCACCTCTGCTGCCCAGGGCCATCGCCACGCCTCCAGCAGCACCCGAGTGTTGGGCACCACGGGGTACTGAGCTCTTCCCCGCCTGGGTCAGAGATCGGAAGGAAGGGGATGCTGCTTTCCTGGACCCTGTGACCCTGGGCAGGAGCAGTTGCCTCCCTTGGGGCCCTCCAGCCCAGCCTGTCTGTGGCAACAACCCTGTGTGGACCCCTCTCTCCCCAGAGACCCCACAGCCAGCTGAGTCTCCACTGAGCAACACTATGATAAAATCACTGTAAGAAAATCAATTGTTATTAATTGACAGGAAGATGCCCCAAGACACTGGCAGGTGGGCGTGTCCAGAAGTGATCCTGCAGCCCATCTCCACACGTCAGTGTCCACATGCTCCAGGGAGGCCACACTGAATGGAGGACAGTCCGAGAGTGGGCTGGTCCTTCTTCAGGGGTGTCAGGGTGATGGCTGGTCTTCCTGCTGAGGCAGCCAGGGCTCTGTCCGTGGGGTCTGCAAGGCCTCTAGAATTCTGTCATCTTCCTGTGGGTGTCTGCCTTCCGCTGCTCCCGCTGCAAGCCTGCCTCCTGGGCCCGGAGCTGCCCCAGCTGCCGCTGGGCTCCCGCCAGCTTCTCCTCCAGCTGGGCTGCTGCCACACTGTGCCTAGGGAGGGGCTGCCAGTCAGCGTGGCCTCCTGGTCCACTGCCCATCCTCCAGATCCAGACCTCCTGACTTAGCTACCACTCTCGGGTCAGGTAACCTCCCACAAGTGTCCTGTGGAAAGGCTACCCTGGGCCTTGGGCCCCACACGTACCGGCCAGCATTCCGAGTGAGGGCCTCCTGGATGCCCCGGATGTCTCGCTGGGTCCGCTCAATCTTTTCCTCAGTCTGGAAGAGCTGCAGGTTCAGGGCCTGCTTGGCACTCTTGCTGGCGTGGTACATGTCCTTGGTTTTCTTTCCTCTGGGGAGATCCACCCCAGCCTCCAGGTCCCTAGGAGCCTGGCTTTGCAGCTTTTCATTCAGGAAGTCAAATACATTCCTCGGGGGCAGGTGGCCCGCAGGCCTACCCTTCCTCCTCCGGCACCTTGGGGGCCTACTGGCACCATCCTGCCCTTCCTTGGTCCTCTTTTGCAGAGTCTCTGCGCATTGGTCTAGAGACTTTCCTCGAGGCAACACCACAGCATGGATGGGCTCCACCCGGCCTTCTGCATGTCGGCCCAGACCTGAGGAAGATGCAGGACAGATGCTGCTGCTGCAGGACCCCGGACTGCCCTGTAGCACCGCCCCCTCAAAGCAGCACATACACACCTTTGCCAAACTCATAGCCCATTCTGGCGAGGAGCCTAGATCCAATGCCACGTGTGTGCACCTCCCAGCCAGCGAAGGCGGAACTACTGGTCCCAGTATCCACAGGGCCTGATTCCACTACTGCAAGAGACAAAGGGCAGTGGCTCTACTAAGCCAGAGGACTCAGAGTGGCTCCCTGGGCTCTGGCCAGCTCTAAGAACTCAGCTCTGGGGAAGGGGCCCAATCCTCTACACCGCTGCCAGATCTCCCAGGTCAGCTATGGGTGCTCCCAGCAGCTCCAGGTGGCGAGCTGGCTGCACATGGCTTAGCAGCTGTCACCATGGGTACAAGGTTCAGAACCCACCAATTCACATCCAGACCTAGGGCCACCTCCCTGCCTGTATCCCAACCAACCCCTCACAGGAGCTGGACACTGCCCACCAGTTTCCCTCCTGATATCTCCAGCCCAGCTATCTGGACACTTTCGATTTGCCAGGATCCTTTCTGTCCCCACTCACCTGGCACTGAGGCTCTAAGTCTGGGAAGCCATTTGAAGGAGCCACCCTAACCTACACAACCCCCTCGTCTGGCTCCTTCCTGTGGCACCTTGGCAGCTTTGTCACCAGCCAGCCCCATCCCCACAGTGTGCAGCTGACCCACTCCAGGGAGCTTGTGATTGCTGCAGGTACTCCTCCAGAGCAAAGCCTGGATCTCTTGCCCTGGCCTGTCACGCACTCCCTGGTTCCCCATCCTTCTGCTTTCTGGGCACTGAGCTGCTGCTGTACCTCTGGCATAGCTGGAGTCACCCAGATCGCCACTGTCTGAGTCAGAGGACTCTTCAGCCTCTGTCCGAAGTGGGGGCAGGATGCTGTCCCCCTCCACCACGGCCTCTTTCAGCAGCAGGGAGTCAAATTTGACTGTGTAGTAGCCATTGTCCACATCTGCAGAGGACAGAAAAGGACTGCAGGTCAGCAGTCTCGACGAGTGGGCTTGGCAGTCAGGAGCCATGTGGGAAGTGAGGAGTGAGAAGAAGCCTGGAGTGAGGTTAGATTCACTCCTCTTGGGCCCAGACAGGGTCCCGAAGCCCACCCCAGAGGAGCCGGGAGTAACCATGTAAAGCAGAGGGGGCTTTCCAGGAAAAACCTGCTTCAGTAGAGCCCCTCAGGGAAGTCCCCGTGGACAGCCTCACCAGTGATTCGCGCCGGGTGCCAGAGGCCATCGTGGTGCTTGGCCAGACATGGAGAGCCGGCCTGCAGCAAGCTCAGGTCTGGGTCCTGGAAAGGGCGCAGCTCATCGACAGAGACCACCTGCCCATGGGAGAATCTGCAGAGGGGCCACAGGAGGCAAGGGCTCAGACACGGGCACAAGGGTAAGCAAAGCCGGGAGTGGGGCCTCTGCCAGGCTCCTTCACACAGGGGAGTGACACACAGGAAGGCAGATGTGCAAATAGACATCCATTTTCTGCCTCACACAGGTACACACGTACATGTGCTTTCAAAAACAGAACACATCCACTTTCAATACCTATGCATGTGCATTTCTCTCACATGTACATGGATATATGCACTTTCACACAGGCAAATACACATATAAATCCACACACATTTGCATATACCTATACACATATGTATATATTCTGGCATCTACGTACACATGAATGTACAAATATATGAACACATGCATACACACATGTATTCTTACACTCAAATTCTCTCCAGATGTTCCTCACATTGCCACTCAGCTACAGGTGGCTGGGGTGACAATGTGGCAGAGCCTTGTGATTATGGCTCCCCCTTGCCTCAACCGAAATGAAGCTTCAGACCAACAGGTATTTAAGGTGGATGTATTCAGGGATGGATATGTGTGCATGTGTGCACTGAGTCTTCCCCAAAGCAACTAGAAGAACACAGCAGCAGTGTCCTGACTAGATATAAGTGCACCAGTAAAATTAAAACCAAAACTGAGAGAGAGAATGAAGAGGAAATGTGGGGCCAGACACAGGACTGCAACCATGAACTCTACCAAATAAAGACATGAGAAAACTAACCACTAACTACTATTATATGCCACCATTTCAGACAGGAAACTATTTAAGCACAGAAGGCGTTACGCAGTGGCACTCACTTCATGACAGAGCCAGGGACATCTTCTAGGCAGGAATCAGTGGGTGGAAAGGAGAAAGGGCAGAGAGACAGCTTCAGTAAAAGCTTCCACAGTGAGGCCTCACACCTCCCTCCATTCTCATCTCTGACTGTCCTCAGGACACTGCCAGTGTCCTGGTGAAACCAGGAGCCTTAAGACTGCTCCAAAAGAACTCATTTTAGACTATGTCTGAAAAGTCCCACACAACTGAGGACCAAAAGAACATGTTCAAAATGGAGGCCTAAAACAGGCTTGATGGTGCACACCTAAAACCCCAAACTTTGTAAGGCTGAGGCAGGAGCACTGCAAATGTGAGCCCAGCCTGGGCAATTTAGTGACTCAATGAGACCTTGTCTCAAATAATATAGGTGGATTGATAGACAGACAGACAATAAATAAAAGGAGGCCTGGGCCAGGGATTTAGCTCAGTGGTTTTGCTGCCTGCTGCAAGCGCAAGGACCCGAGTTTGATCCCTGGTACCAAAAAAAAAAAAAAAGGGAGGCCTGATGCAGAGCTGAATTTGATTAGATTTCCCCTACACACACACACACACACACACACACACACACACACACACACACTTTTGTCAATTAATCAAATCTTTCTGGGTGAACCTGCAGCAACATTAGAAGCCTTAACATCTGACACAGGTCCACTGTCCCTTATGTGAAATTTCTCTTATCTGATTAGAGTTTTTTTTAATGTGTGTTCTGCTAGTGATTAAACTTGGGGTGGGGGGCTGGGGATTTTGCTCAGTGGTGCTGCCTGCCTCACAAGAGCAAGGTCCCAAGTTTGATCCCTGGTACATTAAAAAAAAAAACAACCCACAAAACTTAGGGAGCACTGAGCCATAGCCTCAGCCCTTTTTATTTATTTTGAGATAGGGTCACATTAAGTTGCCCAGGCTGGCCTGGAAGTACTTTTATACAATATTTTTAGTGTGGTTGTGTTCTGACTGCACCCTCTCACATGGGGTTGTGTATAGAAATTGCCATATGTGGTGCCATGTTGGCGCTTACAATTTTTGGATTTTGGAGCAGCACAAAGCAGATATGGGGAGGGTTGGGGGGGCTGAACCTAGGGCCTGGTAGCTAAAAGTGGCAAACTTGGTAAAAAATACTGGGGAAAACTGACAGCTCTGATCACTGGGTTTGTGATTCCAGTTGGGGCGAGCACTGAACCAGGTGTTTAGCAGGGAGATCCTCAGATGCCAGAGCCATAGCAGGACTCTTCTCTCAGCACCCCGGGTCTCCAGGGAACAGCCACAGGAGCTGAGAACCTGGAGATGCCACCCTGGGGAAAGTGAAAGCAGAGTGGGAGGAGGGAGGTGGCCAGTGTGCTCCCTAACCTACAAGGCTGGCTGGCTGAGGACAGGAGCCTTTTGGGCTAGAAGTGTTTGAGCATAACTTCTGCCTAAATCACTGTCCATTAAACTTCAAGACAGTTAACTCCTGACTATTAAACTGTAAGGCAGAAGCAACCTTCTGGAAGGCAGGATAAAATATAAAACAAAATCTGAAATATGAGGAGAGGTAGCAGAGGCTGCACACTATGGAGGAGGCAAGTTTTGTAGTTTAAGTCCAGAAAACTTCCCCAAACAAATACCTCAAGAAAACAATTCAGAATCCAGATCAACAATACATCATCTGCCTT